ATATATATATATATTAAAATTATTAAATTTTTAATAGGAGAGACTAAAATCGCATAATTATGATATTCGAGAGACTAAAATCGTTCCATTAAAAATTGAAGGACCAAAATCGCACAATTGCAATTCTTTAGAGACTAAAATTACCCAATTAAAATCTTAGGAATCAAAATTGCACAATTGCAATACTTGAGGGATCAAAAATACAATTAAGTCTAATTTTTTCTATTTTATAATAAATATCGTCTTAGCATATATATATATATATATATACACATTTAAGAAAGCTACTAAATACAATTTCTTTTATTTATAAATCAATGTGTCTTCCCATGGTCAAAAGTTATAAATATTGTTTTCTTGATGTATTGAAATTTATTTATGGGGTTAACTTTTCTCAATTAGTGATGTTAAAATGAGTCAACTGATTTATCACAGGTTCAAACTCGGTCAGGTTAGAAAAAAAAAAAGTAAATCAATTTTGATTAAATTCCAATCTGACTCACTTAATCATTGAGTCAAACAGGTTCAAACCGGTGGGTTAAATCGGTTCAATCACAAAAATATTTTTTTTTAAGGGATTACAAACCACAAAAATAATAATGAGAATTGAATCCTGTTCATAAAAGAGCAAAGAGTCTTATCAAAGATAATAATGACCACTATTGTTTTAATATATTTGTTTGTAATATATACAATTCAAATAACTTTTATAGTATATTATTAAATTTAAATTATATATTTAATAATATAAAATCTATGTAGATATTACATATATTTATTTGTGATATCAATTGCAAGTATATTATATATATACATATTATTTATATTTTTAATTTATATTAGGCAAAACACCTGATTTGGTCCCTTATAATAATTAATAGTTTCAATTTCGTCCCTCGATAATTTTTTGTTTCAATTTAGTCTCCAATAATTTAAAAAATGTCAACGTGGGACTTTCCGTCCAAATTTCACAAACGGCGTTAAAGGCGATGACGTGGATGCCAGTAGATGCATAGGTGGCATGCCTCCTCTCCCCCTTCTTTAATGATCTGGAACGGCCCATTCTGAAACCAGAACGACTCATTCCGCTTGCATTCCTTGTGTTTTAATTTTGCATCCGGAACGGGTCGTTTCAGATTCAAAAAAAAATACACAAAGAATGCAAGCGGAACAGGCCGTTATGGTTTCAAAACGGGCTGTTTCAGATCCAAGGATTGTTCTTGAATATCTTAGTTCTCTCCATATTGAAATTTTAACCGGGGCAAATTGTGAACCATGATTGATTTTCTTTAAACTTTTTAATATAGAGTATCGTCTCAATTTGGAGGAATTTAATGGTATCTTTGGATTTCAAACCAAAAGGGAAAAATTCCAAGATCATTTAATTCATACATGTTTTGAGGGGGTTGTAACAGGTCATACACAATGGGAGGCTGGTTAATGCAATTCATCTACATTTGTTATGCTGCCATTAAAATTATGCATAAATTTATTGCATCTACTGTTATAGGTCGTGGCGGCTCAGATGGTAAACTATGCCTAATTGATTTGTTATTTATATGGGCAATAATGAAAAATAAGGATGAAAAGATCAACTCTGGTGCATATTTTAATATTTGAATTTATGTTATGTTATGAATTTTTGTTTTCAATCTTTGAACCACATTGCTATATTTTGTTGAAATGTAATACTTAAATCTAAACATTAATCCTGGTTGGCGTTCTAGAACGGCCCGTGCTGAATCTAGAACGGGTCGTTCTTAAACCAGAACGGTCCGTTCTTAAACCAAAACGGGCTGTTTTGATTCACTCGTTGTGTGTTACATTTGCATCTGAAACGAGTCGTTTCAGTTACAAAATTAACACACAACGAGTGGGATCAGAACGGCCTGTTCTGGTTTCAGAACGGGCCGTTTCATGTTCATTAAAGAAGGACTATGGAAACTTTTCACGTATGTATTTACATGGCATCCACGTCATTTACATTTGACGCCGTTTGTAAAATTTGGACGGAAAGTCTCATATTGACATTTTTAAATTATTGGGGACCAAATTGAAACAAAAAAATTATAGAGGGACGAAATTGAAACTATTAATTATTATAAGAGACTAAATTATGTGTTTTTCCTTTATATTAATATATATTTTAGCATGTAATTATTTTAATGTATTTCTTTATATAAAATAAAAATAAAGATAACTTTAAATAAGATGGAAATTGAAATTTAAAATAGGATATGAATTTATTGAAATCTATAAGTATAAAATATATTTAACATGAATATTTTTTTTTAAAAAAAATTAATAAAAATCGGGTCATGCAGTTCAATTAGTGACTCACTAGTTCAACCTTTGACCCACTAATTTAGTATCCTAGTCAGCTTGATGACCGGTCTGGTTTTTAAAACAATGGTTTTAATATTATGTAGTTGTTATTTGAAATTTTGATTGATATTTTCCTATATATTTGTATTTAAATCAATGATAGACTTGATTTCTTGATATAAAAAATTATAATTCTTTATTTTATTTATTAAAAATAGGAACATGTAATTAAAGTTTTTTTTTCTGTTAACTTTTTTAATTTTAAAAAAATCTAGTGAGGTAATCCACTTAACCCATCAACCCATGGTGAGTTGAAATCTTTCTAACTCACTAAAAACCGAGTTAGGTTGAGTTGACTCGTTTAAAATACTAATCTATGATGAGCTAACTCGTGTGAGTCGAGTTAGCCCTCTTTAACATCTCTCAACAAATATTTTTTCGTATACAGTGATCCAAAATCAAGTTATTAATCATATACTTAGAGATAATGTTATCTATCTACCATGTCAGACTTTGATACCACCTCTAGTCTTAATTATAAGTAATAAAGATAAATCATCAAGGCAAAAAAGTAATAATTAATATGGTTACTTTTAATCAATTTCATCGTAAATTCAAGTTTTATTCCAAACATATTCTTCATTTTAAATTATTGTTATATTTAATATTAGTTACAAGAAAATGCATATAAAGTAAAGTTAACAATAAATGAATGGTACGAAAGAAATTTAAGTTTAAATAACTTTAAAATTAATAATTATTATTTATAGTAAGGACCAAAGAAAACTCTAATTTATTACTTACAATTAGAACAAAAAAATAATACTAATTGATAGATCCAAACATACTAAAAATGTATTTGGATACAGTTTTAGAAATACTTGAAAAAACTTCTTTACTAAAAATTATTTTTATTTTCAGTAGAAAACTTTCTATATATATACTTTCTATATTTATATGAACTACTTGAGTTAGTCTAATAATTAAATTAAAAAAATAGAATAGTTAAAAACATGAGAATTTAGGCTCTCATTTTAGTAGATCCTGAGATACCAACTACATGTTAATTGATAACAGAGGAATCGGAAAATAATAAATACATTATCTCGAACATTAAAATTTCGTATGGGTATTTATTTATTGAAAATGACGGATAAGGAAATGTAGGCAGGTTGCATTGTGATGAATAACCGACTGACTGTGTCGTAATTCCGTCCAGAATCCATGGGCTAATTGGTTGAACAAGTTATGTAAATGTAATGCTATGGCAATTGCCAAACAACACACATCAAACTCAAATTTATGTAATCTTCTGTTGCCTATAAATTCCAACCCCCGAGGTGAATCTTACCTCAGCACTCTCAACTCTGTCTCTTCTCTCACACATTACTCACACACCCTAGGTACATATTTTCATTTTCTTATTCTACTATTACTTATAATTTCATGCAAATTATTCTTTTCCCAAGTGTTTTCTCACTTTTCCTCTCCTGTTACTGCCACTGGCTTCTGGGTTGTTCAACAAGACATGATTGTGGATGTCCCGGAATACCCAGATGAATTTTTCTACATTTTTTTATTTGGAACCGAACTGGATATGCTTTTGTTGACTTTTTATTATTTATTTTTACATCCCCTTATTTAGTATATATTATTTTCATTTAAATATTACACTTGTGATTGGTGAGCTTTATGATATACTTCAATTCTGCTTCCCAGTTGTCTTCTGGTTCAATCTCTGTAACCCAATTCAGTTAGTTTCTCTTTCTCAGCAAAGGGTATTTCAAAAACTAATCTTTACGGAACCCCACTTTTTGTTCTGTCCTTTTACCCTTCAAGGAAAACTTTTTTGTTCCCTTTGACTTTTTTTTTTATACTTTTACTTTTTTTTTCTTTGGTTTTTTTTTTTTTTTTTTTCCTGTTCTCACAGTTGGGTCTGTGGTAACTTAAAATTACATCCTGTCTTGAATTTTCTGCTCTAAGTTTATCGGGTTTATTTCTCTGCTTCACATGAACTTAACTTGATGGTTGAAGAATTTTCAATTTTACTATTGGTGCTTGGAATAGATCTTTGGGATAGTTCAGTTGACTTGAATAAAGAAGGAAAAGCCAAAGATCGAAGCTCATAATTTTCCTTCTGATATCTATCCTTTTCTTTGTTTTTTTGTGTTTTCAGGCTTCATCACTGACCAATTTGGTTGTTTTCTTTCATTTTCTACATCATTGTCCATCGTTTTAACGTTTCCCCTGGTTTTGGTCTTTATAATGGTTCAGAGAACCATTTAAAAGCGCATTTATCCTATTTTCTGCAAATTAATTTTCGAATTTATTCATCTGGGTCCTATTGCCTGGACAACAAAAGGGGAAGATTACTGCACCAGAAAAATACTATTAATAATATTATGCCGAATGGATATAAAACCTTAGTTGAACGGTGCAGTTTGGCTTTATCCATATTTTGCATCTGTATTGCAATATAGCCTTGTTCATGCGGTTTGGCCTTTTCAGAATTGTTTCTTTATGTAAATCAATTATTGCCCCCTTTTTTTTGCTGTTTAGGAGTAGCATTTATGGAGGTAACAGGGAAATAATAATGAGTCAGAACTCAATTCTCAATAGTCAATACTCCTCTATATATAATTGAGTACTCCTTTTTTTTTCTTCTTCTTTTGTAATATAGGTGCAGCTGAAGGACTGTGAAGATGCCTGAGAAGGTGGAAGAATTTAACATGGAGAAAGTGCTGGAGGAATTTGAGAGGGTGACAAAGGATGCTGAGAGGATTCAAAGGGAAACTCTGAAAAGGATTTTGGAAGATAACGCTTCAGCTGAGTACTTGCAGAATTTGGGACTGAATGGGAGGACTGACCCTGAGAGTTTCAAGGCCTTTGTTCCACTGGTCACTCACAAAGAATTGGAGCCTTATATCAACAGAATACTTGATGGTGATTTTTCTTCTATTCTCACTGGCAAGCCCATCACAACCATGTCTTTGAGGTCAGACTTTAGTGCTCTACTCATGTTTGTTTCATTTAACTAGTTGAATTTGCAATTAAGGGGGAAAATGGTACTCTTGCAGTTCTGGCACTACTCAGGGAAAGCCAAAATATATACCATGGAATGATGAGTTGTTTGACACCACATTGCAGATATACCACACCTCTTTTGCCTTTAGGAACCGGTATTTAAATTAAACCTCGTGTCTCTTCTTTATCCTTTTTTCCACAGTGGTTTTCATTTTTCTCCTAGTTGGAATTTGGCAACTGAAAGAGAATTCCATTGTGTAGGGACTTTCCTATAAACTGAATTTGCAATTAAGGGGGAAAATGGTACTCTTGCAGTTCTGGCACTACTCAGGGAAAGCCAAAATATATACCATGGAATGATGAGTTGTTTGACACCACATTGCAGATATACCACACCTCTTTTGCCTTTAGGAACCGGTATTTAAATTAAACCTCGTGTCTCTTCTTTATCCTTTTTTCCACAGTGGTTTTCATTTTTCTCCTAGTTGGAATTTGGCAACTGAAAGAGAATTCCATTGTGTAGGGAATTTCCCATAAACAATGGCAAGGCCTTGAGCTTTATCTATAGCAGCAAGCAGTTCAAAACCAAAGGGGGTGTGTTGGCAGGAACAGCTACAACCAATGTGTTCCGCAACCCAGGGTTCCGGCATGCAATGAAGGCCATTCAATCCCCATGTTGCAGCCCTGATGAAGTTATATTTGGTGCTGATTTTCACCAATCATTGTACTGCCACCTCTTGTGTGGCCTGATCTTGAGGGAAGAGGTTCAGTTGGTGTCTTCCACATTTGCACACAGCATTGTGTATGCTTTTAGGACCTTTGAGCAGCTATGGGAGGAGCTTTGTGTTGACATCAGAGAAGGGGTCCTTAACAGCAAGGTCACAGTCCCATCCATTAGGACAGCCATGTCTAAGCTTCTCAAACCTGACCCTGAGCTAGCCAACTTGATCCACAAAAAGTGCATGGGGCTGAGCAACTGGTATGGCCTAATACCAGAGCTGTTCCCTAATGCTAAGTATGTTTATGGTATCATGACTGGGTCAATGGAACCTTATCTGAAAAAGTTGAGGCATTATGCTGGAGAGTTGCCTTTGTTGACTTCTGACTATGGATCTTCTGAAGGGTGGATAGGAACGAATGTGAAGCCAAGAGTGCCACCTGAATTGGCCACTTACACTGTGCTTCCTCAAATTGGCTACTTTGAGTTCATCCCTCTGTCAGAGCTAGAGGGAACAAAGGGTGATGAAACTTTCCTTTGTATGGATCCAAAGCCTGTGGGCCTCACTGAGGTGAAGTTAGGTGAGGAGTATGAGATTGTCATCACCAATCCAGCAGGTATTTAAGTCTTCCCTATCAATTTTTCTTTCCCAATTAATGAATCAGGACCAAGAATCAATCATCGTGACCATTCCTCAAACCACCTCTTTCTTCTTTCACAATTGGAAAATTTTATATTAGCATAATGTTTCCAGAAATTCATTAATTATTTGACAAATTAATGCCTTTTAATTTTCATTGTGTTTTTTTGGGAGGGAGAGGAAGGAAGTGGTTAACTGCTTACTTTTCTTTTTATGCTTGGTGATATGACCTGCATGGGACCAAGTTAAAGAAATTTTTTTCCTTGTGATTTCCAAAGGAACATAGTGCATACCTAATCACATCAATATGTGCACCATTCCAAGACAGGTCTATTCTTAGTTGCTGGCAGCTAATTCCTGTTTCGTGAAAATCACTGTGCCTGGACTTATGTGCATGTCTTTTTTTTTCCTATTTACATGCAATCGGCAACACAGATTATGCTTATCTATTCCGTTTGAACTATGATTGCATTCTATTCTTTATCTTTTCAACTGCGTAGAGTTCTATGCTATCACAATAAAACAATAACAACCAAGCTTTTTCCTACTAAATGGATACGACATCATAGTTTAAAAAACTAATTTTCATTTGTAAATCTCGGGACCTTTAATCATTTTACGTATAGTGTTTCTCAATTTCCCTCTACCTATTAATTGGCCTGCCCTCATCTACATTGATGAGAGTTGTATATGCCATCTCAGAATGGTAGTAATATTCCCCAAGGGAAACATGTTCATATATAATTTGTAACTGTCAAATTCTTGCCTTGTGATACTCTCACATTTATTCATGTGATAATATTTCTCCATAGCAAAACTTTGGAGTTTACCTGAGTTTAATAGCTGAAACTGGAAATACAATATACCCAATTTTTGCACAGTAACATAATATTGATAGAGTATAAGTATTGTACATAGCCAAAAATTCTCTAAGATTCTACCTAGTCTATACAAATCACTAATCTCATAACTTGGGTTAATCTGCAGGCTTGTACCGGTACAGGCTCGGTGATGTGGTCAAGGTTATGGGGTTCCATAACTCGGCTCCAGAAGTCAAGTTTGTTCGCCGTAGCAATCTTCTGCTCAGCATCAACATTGACAAGAACACAGAGAATGATTTGCAGATAGCTGTGGAAGCAGCATCACAAGTTTTGGCAGGGGAGAAATTGGAAGTTGTTGACTACACTAGCCACATAGATTTATCCAAAGAGCCAGGACACTATGTTATCTTCTGGGAAATCAGTGGTGAAGCAAGTGAAGACGTGCTTGGTGAATGCTGCACCTGTTTGGACAAGTCTTTTGTTGATGCTGGCTACACTAGTTCCCGCAAAGTCAACTGGATTGGGGCCCTCGAACTCCGAGTCGTTCGGAGAGGAACATTCCAGAAGATTCTTGAGCATTCCCTGGCTCTAGGAGCTGCTGTGAGCCAGTTCAAGACACCAAGATGTGTAGGCCCTACAAACACCAAAGTGTTGCAAATATTGAATGAAAATGTTGTGAAGAACTATCTCAGTACTGCCTTCAATTGAATAAAATTTAGGAATAGCTATCTCTCTCTCTCCCCCCTCTATATATAAATATATATAGTTTCCTTTGAATTGAATAAAACATTTTACCTTAGTTCTTCTTTTCTTCCCATTTATGTCTGCATAAAGTCCTTAACTGACACGGTCCAAGCACATATATCTGTGTCACCTTCATTCATCACATCTTGCACCCTCTACAATATAATAGGCAGTGGTTGACCATAATGGATAGCAATCCACATGTTCGGTTGGAGCTGGAATCTGGAGTGTTTTAATAATATAGGAGGCTAAAGGCCATTGCTGTCGGGAATAAGGTAAAAGATCATATGAATATGTACCCTATTTGCAAAACATAGACAAAAAAAGTGTAGGAAATTAAAATAATTTAACAAGCTGCATGTGACATTGGTTAAACTCATCACATTAGAACTACAAGGAGTCATGGACATAAGTTACGGAATTAAACCCTTTTAAAATGGTTCTAATTTGTAACAAAGTGTTTTCTACATAAGAAATTAAAATATTTTAACAGCATTCATTCCAAATTTTTCATGTTCTCCAGATAGGATGCTTTGTATATACTTTATTTTACTTCCCATTATAAATCCCCATTTTTGTATGCTTCGTGGCCATGGTGTTCTTCCAAATCATCATCCTATAAGAGGTGTTTGCTAGAATTCTAGTATATTCAAGTGTCATTTTTCTCTCTGAAGAATATGCTTATGCCTTGAAATTTTGTACTTAAATATGGCTAAAGTTCAAAAGGAATTAAAATATAAAAAAAAAAAAGAGATTTTTCTTTATATGCAAATGCGCTTTCCAACTATTTTATCCTAACCAAAGATTGGAGGATAAATAGTGGGGAGTCAAAAGTTGGTTGCTGAGACAAAGTATAGAATATATTTTCTCACTCATGGGTGAGCTTTAATTGTCACTCAACACTAATAAGACCAGTGATACACCAATCAGGATCCCCCACGGTAACACGTGGCGATTAATTAAAACAAAAGACAAACAAGTTTTCTCCATCATCATTTGTAGCTTTCACGTGGCTAGAACTCACTTTAATGTGATTAGAAGAGAAAAAGTGTATGAATCCAGTGCAAAAAAGCAGTTTGGTGGTGGATCTCACAATGAAAGAACATAGTGGTGCATTTGTTTAGCAGTGGCATTCTTCCAAATTAAGGGTGAAAAAAAAAAACTGATTAAAGGGTAACCTGTTGCTACAAGCAAGGTTCAGAGAAGAGATGAATTCATAATAGATATATACTACAAAACACTTTATCTTACATTTACCAGAGATTGATTTCACCACTTGTACATGTGACCTCCTAGTCGCCGAACAACAATTCTAATCATTACACCAAAGCTTCCATTCAAGAACAAAAAAGTTAATTAATTTATATATTTTCTAAAATGAAATGAAATTGCAGCTGTTGAATTATATTTATTGTATTAAATATTTATATATATCATCAAATATTTCACATCGATCAATGATATAATTATAATAAAATAGGATTATTTTTATTTCATTAATTAATTTTATAAGTTTGAGTTAAATCAAAAATTTATATTTTGAATATGGTTTTGAAACTTATTTTAGTAATTATCGTTGGATTCATCAGATCATCTACTGTTATACTGTTATTGAATCTTATAATATGTTTAGTCCTTTTGTTAGAATGTACTAGTTATTTTCATTTTACAAGATGATTTTATACAAGTTGAGTTAAATTTAAAATTCAATTTTGTTAAGATATAGGACGAATTTATTCAAGATTAAGATGTTTTGCGAATGAATTTAAAATAAGTGTACGAGGTAGTGACCCCATATTGTGTAGGGGCAAGGCAAAAAGTTACATTTCCCGTTAAACTTCAATACTTTATGTCAAATAGATGAACATTATGAGCAATCTTGTTGTGATGTTCTCCAGATATTATTCTATGTACTTTCTAGCAACTTCTTTGCTAGTTTGCTTTAGGAGATTGGATTTACCATGTTTGTCGCGGCTAATCAATGGGGAGGTAAATACAAAAGCAACGCTATGATGAGACTGTTGTTATAATATCCCAGGTCAATTCCAAATCAATGTTAAAAAGAGGACAGAAAATAGAAAATAAAAGGAGAGAAAACATTGCATATGCACCAACATGATAGCAAAAACTAAAGGTTTCACACGTCACGAATCATGATGTATATATAACATTCTCGTGCAATAACTCTCATTTATCATTTTTAGCCTTGCAATTTCCTAACTAATGATCATTTGCCCAAAGATATAATTAATGGGTTGTTTTGCATAGAAATATTTTTGAAGAGATGCATAATATTTTATTGGGTACACGAAGAATCACATATATTTTTATAGAGGGTGAATTTGTTTATTTTATGAGTAAGTCTACATATATTCATTTTGTTCAATAATTCATGTTCTACATCAAATTTCAATGATCCAACCGTTGAATTTAAAGTTCTTAATGCATAGATCAAGTCTGTAAATTTTTAGAAAATTTGAAAATCGTTTGATACTTTATTTCATTAATTCAAATTGATGAATAATCATAAAATTATTTTATACATTGATTTGAATTAATGAAACAAAGTATCAAATGATTTTTAATTTTTTTAAAAATTTGTAGATTTGATCTATGCATTAAGAGTTTTAAATTCAACGGTTGGATCATTGAAATTTGATGTAGAATATGAGTTATTTAACGGAGTAAATCTAAGTAAATTTACCCATAGAGTAAATATATCCCTTCTCATTTCTCTATATCATCAAGATATTATTCACCTTAAACATAAATTTTCTTGAATTTGTTTTTATTATCATCTAGAAAGTTCAAAACTTTGTGTGGACTTATAAATTTATATTTCTCCTTTTTTTTTTTTTAAAGATGTGAGACATTATTTATATTCTCCGATATTTACACATGACTCACATTAATATAATATTCACTTTGTACTTAAAGTCTTATAAATTTATTTTTGGTTATTACCTCAAAAAGTCTTTTACTCATAGAAACTTTGTAAAACCTGTATCTTTCCTCTATTTCTTAGAATGTTGGACTTCAATAGTATTCCAACAATAATAAAAATTAAATTTAGTAAAAACATTAAATAAGAATTAATGTTAGTCAATATAATTACAAGCAACCACTTTCTAATTAACATACTAGAATTAAAAAAAAAAAAATGATATGCCTACTTATATTATTTTTTAAAAAAGAAATATATATTCCATATACGGCTCTTCTTCAAAATAAAATGAAATTTGAGATTTTGATTATGCACCCTCTATCCTCATGCTAATTGCATTTTGGTTAATGTGGTTATAAACGTGAGTCCACAATATAGTTATTGATTATTTACTTATTATTTTGGTTACAAAAATATTTAAATCAATGAACCTATCTTTCTCGAAGAAAATTGAGCCAAGTATTTGTATAGAAAATCCCTGATCGTAGTCGTTTATGCTGTTAATGAAGCTCAATTGTTTTCCATGTCATAGTATTTAATATATTCATTCCACTTTACAGTTGTTTCTATTGGCCACTCTCTTTATAAAGTAACGAGCAAAATTGATCAAGTACATATTCCAATCTTATATTATCATTTAAATAAGAAACATTCATGAAAAAATAATTTTGTATAGTTAGAACACATTAAATGTTATGGCATAAAAGAAAAAGAATTCACTCTAAATGGAAATATATAATTATTTTTTTACGTATAAGAATCCAACATGGTACAAAGAAAATTTATAACACATATATTTTATGTTGTATATTTTGAGATATTTCAAAATATTAATTTATTCATGAAATTATTTTGAATTTAAATTTAAATTTAAAATAATTATTTTATTAAGTACTAGTATTAAAACCTAATTAATATCAGTTTTAATGAGATATAATAACTTGATTGTTGTAATTTTAATTAATTTTAATGGTCAAACATTTTAAAATTAATTGGTGTTATTTATCGTTATTAATTATAACTACAAAATTACCTAGTAATATTTCCTTCTCTAGTATCTTTTTTCTGGATTAAGAACTTGTTACTTATGTATCCCCAATCTACTATTGGAAAGATTCTGTTATGTGTGGGAATTTGCGAATAAGTCCTTTAAGATAATTGCATGCCTCAGGAGTTTAGGTCAGTTCGTGTTCTCAACATCCATAAACAACAATTTAAATGACTTATAATTGTCCTTGAAAATTCTTGATGAATGTGAGAATTGAGCATGAGGCTACGAAAGAGAACATGACATGTGCACATTATTGTGGCTGTCACATTTAAAAGAGAACAAGGTATCAATTAACATGTGATTAATTGTATTTTGTTAGCATCTTGGAATCAGATGCTGAGAACATTTTGTTCAACCAACTAATTAAGTTAGATTTCTTGACACAGATATATAACTATGTGATATGCATATCAAAAGTCCTAATTTTTTTATATTTTAAAAAAATTTAAAGTATCAATTACTTTCTTTTTTATATAATTCTCAATGAATATTTCATTAATATGGGGTCCATAGTTTCTTACCAACGAGCACATTACTTCCACACGGTAGACAAGGGCTTTTTGACCTCAGTAAATTAAAAAAAAAATAAAAATACATGAAATAAATTTAAAAAAAAACTAATTACCGAAATAGGTGATCTTGTAGCAGTTAGGGATGGTGTGACTGCAATAAATGGAGATGGTGATCTGGTGGGTTCAACAACTAGCGAAGGTGCTTGTGTGGGTGCAACAAATGAAGTTGGTGATCGAGTGATTGTAGCAACTGGGGATGGTGTGGTTGTAGCAATAGACGATGGTGCATGTGTGGGTGCAACAAGTGGAGATGGTGATTGGGTGGGCTCAATAACTGGGGATGGTGTGGGTGCAACAATTGAGGAAGGTGATGGTGATGGAGATGGTAAGTTTGATGGGGTTTAAGTAGATGATCCGGGGGTATTTGTTCCTGAAAATACTTTAATTACATAACGTGACTTCTTCGACTTTCCTTTATCATTTCCCTTATTACCAGGAGAGGGACCTTCTCCTGTCATATCTATATAGGAATGATAATATTGTGAATAACAAATCAAAATTAACATGTATAAATATAGGGATAAATCAAAATTAACATGTATAAATAATATTATGATTAAGTGATTCAAATGCATCATAAAAATAGAGAACTAAATAGAGGGATAAAACCAATATAATCATTGTCCTTAGACATTTATCCTTATTGCCTAATCCTCTTCAGAGCTATATACATCAAAGTCTTCTTCTAATTCCCCTTCATTTGACTCCTCTTCTTCTTCCTCCTCATCCTCTTGTACTTCAACATGTTGTAGGGGTTCTTCAAGCTCATCAACTTCTTCAAGATCACCTTCTACATCCTGTAATCCTAAAATACCTTCAACTTCAATGACTTCATTAGTATGTGTCATTTCATCTACCTGGTAAGCCACTTCATCAAATTCTATACGACCCCTTGGCTTTGTTTTGATTACAACAAACCAACCATGTTTATTCATTCATGTTGTTGGATATGGGACATAATACACTTGCCTTACATTATATGCAATGATAAATGGATCAACCTCTTTATATCTTGCATCAATCCGAATATCCACTATATTATATTTTGGATCCACTCTTGTACCTATTCTTGACAGATCAAACCAATCACAATAAAATACAACCACTTCCTTATGATAACTTAAAGCATTGTATTGAAGTTCATATGTGTTGAATGACCCCATAGAAATCATCTTCACCTCCTTCTGTAATGCCCTTTACATAAACTCCACTATTAATGGTTTTTTTCTCCTTGCACCATGCATAAGTTTGAAACTTGTACCCATTAACAAAATATGTGTGCCATTCTTTAACACATCTAAATGACTTATTTGACAAATCCCTTAAGTGTTGGTTTCTCCCATTTAAAGGCTTGTTGTGAACCTGTGTACATGAAAAGTTATATTTTAATTAATGTATATATAATGGGGAATTAAAATAAATTGTTATATACATACTTTTTCCTTGAACCATCTAGGAAAATCAACATGTATACGAGCAAAAGCATTTTCTTGAGTTTGCATGAATAAACTGCTCAAATATATCACTTAAAGGGCGAGTTTAAGATCAGAATACAAGATAAATTGTATAATAATAAAAATATTCATTCTCAAATGTTTACTCAAGGTACGATTTAACTTCAATGCAATTGATCAACACATGAACATGGGCTGAATTGTGTTGTTCATCGATTAACCATTTAATCAACTCCTTTTCCTCTTCCATTGAGTTCTTCTATATCACTATGGTGTTAATACTCTTCGACAACGTCACTCATCTTTTTGACAACATCAATGACAACACCCAACATTTTTGCTTTCATACTTCCATTCCCATTCAAACAAAATCACCATGTTTTTGTTGAAGTAGATTTGTTTACACACCACATTCCAAATCTAAAATCATGCACGTCAAGAAGAAGAGAGAGAAGTAGAAAAGAGTAAAACAAAAAGTTGCACGACAGATTAACCTTGCACACCTTTGTTGTAGCATTGCAGTACTCAGCTAGGTTTCTCCTCCGTTGCATCATTTTGGTGTCATGTCTCACACTTGTGCACCTCTGTGTCGTGTCGTTTCGTGTTACTCACTACGTGTCATGCTCCACACTCTTGCTCGTTGTCACGAATCAATTTGCAATTGTTTACCTTTTTGTGTGAAACTTGCATATCAAAAGTTAGACTCAAAGAATAAAAAAGAGAAAGGAAAAAGGGAGAAAAGTGGTGGTTAGAGGTGACCCTGAGCATAGTTAAGGTGAGCATCTAGGACCCCATTTTCAAAAGGCGCAATTTTTGTCTACAAAAATAAATTTAGATAATTAAATTATATAAGAGAATATTATAAATAAAATAAAATAAAATAAGTTAATCGCCATTAACTAATCAATTGATAGGTGATATTTTTATTTTTCAACTAAAATATATCCGTACTTTTAAAAAAAATGAAACGATCAATGGTGTTAAATGTAAAGAAAAAAATGTTATATCTCAACTATAAATTGTACAATAAAATATATTAATTACCTACTAATTTGAATTAAAAATAATTTTCTCTCTCTTTATATATATATATATATATTGTTGAGCACCCGAGGTTACCATGCACATACACATGTCTCCACATTGATAAAATATTGTCCGTTCTGGGTTCAAATTCTCATGGTTTTACTTTTGGATATCACTCAAAAGGTCTCTCTGCTAATGAAAATAACTGTGTGTATATAAACTCATGTTCATCCTCTTGTTTGAATGATGTGAGATTTTGCTTGCATCCCAACATATATATATATATATAGAGTTTCAACAAAGTCTAAAAGTGGTCGCGAATGGCTTTGTGCTAGTGATGGTCCTTCTACCATCTTTACACATTTAATTTGTTAATTAATAAACTCAGTATATATATAACTTGCTAATTAACATTCTTTTCCTAAAAATTAAGTGAGTTTATATTGCATATTTATTATTATTAATTAATAGATAAATAGAATATATCTTTTTTATAATGTTACATATTATTGATTTATATATATATTAACAAAGGAGTGTGGTTTTTCAAATTAACAGGGTTTAAACTCAAGAGAGTATAATGAAAATGAACCCAAACACTCCACCTTGTTCACTCTTAATATTCAAATCCAACCAAATCTCTCAGCCCAAAATCTTTCACTCATTACATACCCTTTTTTCTCAAAATTTGCTGCCTAGATTTTAAGAGGCCCCTCTCTTTTGAGACTAAGTACAAGTGCTTGTTTATTTTGCTTTTGATTTTTGATTTATTATTTTTTTTTGAAAATGAGAGTTGATGATAGAATAAAACTAACAAGCACAAGCACTACTTTTGACTTAAACTTGAACAATGATGTTGATACAGGGGTGACTCTTTCCTTCAAACTTTGCACTATCTTGATTTCACCATTTTCCTTATTTCCTTCAACCTTAGTAATTTTAAAAAATCCCCCAACTTAATCCCGAATTCATTTTCATTATACTCTCAAGAGTTTGGTTAGGGTGAAGAGTTGGTGTTTGGCAAAGGCTAAAAGTTGACTAAAAGTTAAGGCTCAGACAAGTTTCAAGGAAAGGATTCAATTATGGTTTACTATTTGGCTCTAGGCTTACGAAGAATTCAACTATGCAAATTGAAATGCCTTGATCCTATCCAAAACTTCTCACAAGAGAAATCATTCAAGACTCAATCAATGCAAACACATATATTATGATGATGGCCCTCAAAGTAAAAGTGTACAAGATATGATCTATGCACTGTTTAGTTTCTCTCATTCACTAGCTTGGCTAAATGTTCAATTATTGATCTTTCATGCCATGCTAATCAAGTATCTCACAACTTCATGATCAACAAATTGGATGAGTACAACCTCAAAACAAGTCTCAAAACAAACCATTTTAAGGTGAATCAAAAGATGTGTTTTCGCTTTTTATTGATCTAAAAGCCATCTCATTTACTACCTTCCAAGAATGATTTTCAATTTTTCCCAATATATATATATATATATATATATTTTTTTTCCACAAAAAAAAAATATATGTATTCACACTACTGCTATCAAAACAACCAATTGTGCAAAATTCCAAAACAATGAATATCCTAAACATTAGTATAATTGCACCACAAAGTATGAAATTCAACCAAGAACACCAAAAGTTCAAGCACCTGACCAAAACAAGTAAATCACCAAATAGACCAAGCAAAACAGAAACTAAAACAACTGAAATTTAAAATGACTGGAATTTAAAATGGCATAAAATTAAAATGGAACTCCTTTTCTTCAAAAAGTAGTTGATAGTGACCCTTCATCCTCTCCCTTATTCTCTTCTTCATTAACTCCTTCTTTCCTGTTGCTTCCTCCCTCATCACATTCTTCTTCTGAATGCATTGCTTGTCCATGCTCTTGCTCCCCAACATGATCTCCACCCCTTCCAAAAAAGATAGGGTTGTCCCCAGGCCACAAAACTGCTTCCTCAAATTGCTCAGGTGTAGGCCATGGGTATAAGCTGTCACCTGTGTCTGCCCGGTGTAAGGTGTAATTGTAAAAATAAGAGTGCAACACCAACTTTCCTATGTGATTTGCAGCTTGTTGAAGCTGGACATGGCGCAGATGAGCCATTTGTAGCTGGTGTTGCGCTTCCATATGCTGGAACTGTTGAGTCATGTAGGTCTGTATAGTGGATAAATCAAAGGGCCCAATTGGTGGGGCTGGAGGTGAGGGAATGGATGGTGGAGGGTGTTGTGATGGTGTGCGAGATCTTCTAGATGCTCTTGGAAACTCTCTTTGATTATAACATCGGGCCTTGACGAACACATGATCAATTTTCTTTCTTATGGGAGTAAGTGGTTGTAGAATACGCACTCCCTTTGCCTTGCACATACCAATGATCAGTCCTGGAAAAGCTAATGGCCGCACCGCTCCAGATTTTGAGGGCTTGGAAAGAACAATGGCATGCATGTCATTAGATATCAAGGTAGCAATGTCCACGTCTCTCTATTGCATAATAATATGAGCTTTGCTCGTGCAATGGTGATGTTAGAGGTGTGGGTGAGAGGAAGGACATTGTTGTATAAAACTGCTTGCCATAAATGGACAACAAATTTCAAGTCCGCTCTGAGTATATGGGTGGGTTGACTCCTTGTACCAGTTTGGTACTGGCTACCGGGAAGACTTAGAGTTTCCAGCATCAAAGCAGACATATCTTCATCCATGGTGGTGTGTAGTAGCTTTTGGTATTCATCTTCCACTGGAATGGCATAATCAGTTTGCAAGTATGCATTAATGGCTTCCGGATCATAGGGGATTGAAATGCCTCGCACCCAAGAGGTTCGATCCTTTGAATCAGATTTAGTCGGGTAGGCATTGGCATAAAATTCCTTGATCAGAATTGCATTGTAGTTTTCTTCTGGTTGTCCTACCTTGGTCCATTTTCTTCTATTGAATTCATTGTTGAAGTCTAACAGAGGAAGATATGTGACCACTGGTCACTCCACAATTATATGTCTGCCCTCCAAATTTATAAATCTCAGTTGTTTAAACTTGTTCCGGAGTCTGTTGGGAAAGAAAGTGAAACCCTTGGGTGGTTGTGATGGTGTGGGGGTTTCTTCGTCCTCAGAAGATGAAGATGAATTTGGAGTAGAAGCTGCCACTTTCTTCCTTTTACGATCAGCCGAAATTTTGTGGGTTGGTCGAGCCACCACCTCTTGAGCGAGCCATCTGGAAATTTGATAACCAACCTTACATCCAAGCTAATCCACAAATTGATCATACAAACAGAACACAATGCTTCATGGGGCATAAGGAATGATCAATAAGCATTCTAACATGTGAAATGCTAAAGTTATTTCAAACCCACCAATGAACAAGAAATTATTTCAACGAGAATCTTACACATGTATTTGAACAAACAACCATCAATGAAGTAATATTAGCACTAACATCTTATTCACAGCAATGATCAACCCAGTGTTCCAAGGAAAAATCTTTTTAAGTATGGCAACCAACCATCAACCAACCAACTCTTAACAACAAGAATTATCAATCCACATAATGATTTTACACATTAAAATATGAACACATATTCACTCAAGTATTTAACCAAGCACATGGTGGACACGAGAAAGAAAAGCAGAATGCATGTTAATTCCTACCATGCAAGGCTTCAACTTCTTCATAAAAATGGAACATTTCAATGATCAATCTTTTCCCAAGCGTTCATCGTTTTCAAATCAAAATTTCCTCTCATTCAGGTATTTCTTCAAACACAAAGCAAGCAGAAGATGAGAAAAGTCATGCATGTGCAAGATTGAAGGATTAAACACCCAAATTCATGCTATCCAGTCCAAAGAGAAAAGAGCCAAAATGTATGCTTCCACATTGATGAATAGGTTCAAAAAATGATGAGAATCATGAAGGGAGTTCATGACAAATGAAGAACCTACAAACACGTCTCATGCAATGAAGAAAGAAATAAGAAAGATGGAGACTTTACCTTATAATCCTAGCAAAAAGTGAGTGCTTTGATGTTTCAGTGTGTGATGAATGAAGAAAAATGAAACCTTGATGCCTAAGAATGGGAACTTTATAGAGAAAATGTGAGGGGAAGATGAAAATATGAAGAACCACAAAGTTGCAAGAGTGGGGGGGTCAATTTTTAAACTGATGAAAACTGTTCACATGGCCCCTATTTATATGTCTTCGTGTTTGGGCGCCATAGCCACGAGCCACCGCTGCAGCAGTGGCTAATTAAATTTGAATTTTGGCTCTAAAGAGTGAGCGCTTAAGCTGTGAAAGTGGCGCTTGAGCACTGGAAATAGAACCACACCACAGAAAATTGGCGCTATGGCTGCAGAATTTGATGTTGCAGCGGTGGGATTTTATGGGGTTCTAGAAAGTTGGCGCCTTGGCGCTAGAATTGGAGCTTGAGCGGTGGAATTTTAACACTTAAACACATCTTGTCCGATAGAAAAAATTAGTGGAATAAAATTGGTGTTTACAATAATTAATTAAATAACTTACATATGTTTTGCTAGATCTTTCATCAACAAACTCTCCCGTTTCTTTTCGTATATGGGTCTGTTGAAAGACCTCATCAATATGCACTGAGCGAACAAATTCTTTTGCATGCAAATAATACATTGATAGGAAATAAATTAATTTGTTGTAAAGTAAAAATAGAAAAGAAAATTTTAATCTATACATACCATGCGCTTGGCATGATCATGAACTGTAATTGAGCCACCTGTATGAAGAGTCTCACCCTTATTAGATGCTCGATTTAGTGAGGCTTGTGTAGACTTTAATCGAAAAGCAGCTGAATTCTAATGTGCTACCAATTCGTTCCACACATCTTGTCCAACCCAAAGTGGCCTTTAACTACTTTTCGAGCTT